ATACAATATTTATTGATTGAACTTTAGTTAAATATAAAATAGTAAAATTGAACACGAATTGTAGTGTACTACTTCTTTATATAATCCTCTCACATAGTACGGACTACTGACAATCTCCTCACATTCATCATGCATTTCTCAATATAAATGATTTAAAGGTTGCTAAGAGTAATAATATCAATTATAAATTTAATTGGTGAGAATAATAGTTATAATTGATATAAATAGTTTAAAGGTTTGTGAGAGTAACAATATCAGCTATAATATTCTTTACATATAAAATAAATGATTATAAGACATAAAATAAAATGATGGACTTTTTATTTTTACAAAATACAAACTTAATAGGTTAATATTTTTATTTGAAAAATATAAAATTATAATATAAAATTAAATATTCAAACACTCATTTTAAATTATGAGATAAAATCACATATCCAAGCGCTAACTTCATAAGTGTTTTTATCACATGTATCACTCACTTTTCTTGGTTAGCAAACATTCTTGGGGTTCAAGTAAAACCAGGCCCAAACCCTTTTTAGCATTTGGACTATATAACCAAATCCTAGGCCCAACTTTCTCTATATATTTCTCTCTCTCTCTCTCTCTCTCTCCAATAATCAAATCGCTGCAAACGTTCACCACTAACCTTTTCAGCCGCCGAGTTCCTCAAAATATCTTTTTCCGCCCAAATCAATCGTAAAGTTCCTCTCTTTCTCTCTCTGCCTTCCTGTTTTTCACGACGCAAAACCCTAATCATGATTTATTTAGCGGTCTTCTTATAATCTCTCCTGATTTGTCATGATTTTGTTTTCTGGTTATTTTTCGTTTGTTGTCTGGTATTTTTTCGAAATGAAAAGGAAGAAAAAATGAGTTCAAAGATGAAAATTTTATTCAGTTGTAGATTTCTGGTTATTAATTAGATTATCTTGTTGTCTGGTTATTAGTATTACTGGTAACTTTTTGAATGAAAGCGAAAAACAAAAGAAAAGATGAAGTTCAAAGATGAAATTTCTATTTAGTTCCATATTCTGTTTCTTAATTAGATGGATTTGGTGTCTGTTTATTAGTGTTATTGAGTATTTTTCGATTGAAGGAAATAAAAAAACAAAGAAAAGATTAAAATTTTATTTAGTTCTTGGCACCTAAATTTCGAAAGAATTTTCGATATCTAACCAGTTCGAAATTAGCATTTAGAGAACTTTCCATTGCATACTTTTCATCTCAAGTAAATACACAGCTGAATGGATTTAGAGGATTCATAAAGTTGAATCCAGCTAGTTTGGTATTCGGTGGAGTCTATTAATTGAACATCATATTAGTGTAGAATTCTCTGTTGTTATCTTCCTTTGTTAATATTTGTGTCATTTTTGGTTATTGACAGATCTTTCAAGTTCCAAGCAATTCTGTTTTTTACAAGCAATGGCAACTAGTGAGTTTAGTCAATTGCCAGATTGGATATTAACTTTGTTAAGTTATTTATCTAATGATTTTTACATAATTGCAGGGCTTCAATTTGAAAATTCATGTGAAATTGGAGTTTTCTCAAAGCTGACCAATGCATATTGCTTGGTAGCTATTGGGGGTTCTGAAAACTTCTACAGGTTTGTTTTTTCAATCTTCAAGTCATCTGTTTCTTAATAGTATTTGGTAATAGTGGAAAGTTATTTAGTTTGAAACTAAAAGATTTGAAAAAGAAACATTGGAGCTGAGCATTCAGAATTTCCAAGATGAGAACAAGGAAATCAGAGATAAAGATTGAATAAGAACTTGAGCTAGGAATATGGGAAATGACAATGAAGAAAGTGGGAAAAGGATAGTGTTTTCCTCGTTCACTATTTAGCAACTTTAAAAATTGACTCCAATGTCTAGGCACAAAAATAAAAGTTGTACCACATTGTTATAATCTAGTTTTCAGGTTCTCAACTCAGTGAAAATGATGTGATCTGTATATTTTCTCCAGCACATTTGAGTCCGAGCTATCAGGCATTATCCCAGTGATCAAAACCTCTATTGGAGGAACGAGGATAATTGGAAGACTCTGCGCTGGTACTTGACAACAACTCTAGCTATCTTGGAAATTTAATGTCTAGTTTTTCAGTGATCTCTATTGGTAACTAATTTCACTTCTCTGACTTTGTGCAGGAAATAAAAATGGTCTTCTCTTGCCTCACACTACTACAGATCAAGGTAATAATATATTCTCCATGCTCTAGAAATATCTTTCTTATCTGCGATAATGTGATTAACAGTAATTTCAACAAGTTTTGCGCTTGTAAATCTTTGAGATAGAGATCTGTAACTGGACTAGTATTCAATATGTAGAAATCCATGTTTATGTGCATCGTGTTATTTTTAATTAACAGTGTTATCCCGGTATACCATCGGGTACTTATTTTTTATCTCTGCTGTGGTATGAACCCTGGTATCAGAGGTTCACACCCACTTCATAGCCACACCCTTGGGGCTCCTGGGTGTGTTCTACCATTGTTTGTTATGATGATAAGTCTTAGAGATACTTTTGGTGGTTTAATCATCTGTTATACTTGATCCCTACATATGTATTACCTATATTTTTTTGTCCTTGTGTATGTAGTATGTACCACCTTTCTTGACTTATTTGTTTTTCAATTAGGTTTATCATATGAACTTAGATCTTGTTTGGGTTGACTGATTTCAAATTGGAGAATTTGATAACAATTTTTATTGCGTATGTTAAACTTGACAATATGTAATTGTATTTACAACAAAATAAGGGTTTGGACCTTCAAAAGAAAAAACAAGGGCTCACCTAAATTGATGGAAGTTCTGAATCCATGAAATATGCTAAAAAGCATAACAATTCCTTGTGTAGCATTTGTGGTTTTATATTTCCTTTTAATTTATGTAGTAGGAGCAATTGATTGACAACAATAGTGAAAATGAGAATGCATCAAAAAAACTTGAACATACTAGTCCTAAATTATCACTCGATATCCCATGCTCATTTAGTGTGACAGAAGTTTTGCGTCTAAAGCTGAATTGACTCCTATCTGCTCACATCTTGACTTTGGTTCTGCCTTTTTATTTATGTTTCTGCTGGTAGAACTTCAGCACTTGAGGAACAGTCTGCCAGATGGAGTTGTGGTCCAGCGCATTGATGAGCGATTATCTGCCCTGGGCAACTGCATAGTTTGCAATGATCATGTTGCTCTGACACATACGGATCTTGACAAGGTAATTAATCTGTTTGGCTACTTGTTGCTGCAAATTGGAATGATATTGTGTAGATCTCTGATGTTTATTCCCCTTCCTGTTTATTAATGTCGAGGCATAAGCCAATTATTGTGTATTTTTGGATATACATGGTCGGCATCTCGTCTATAGTTTGTCTTATATAGAGAACTCAATAACTCGTGAGATTAAACAAGTTAATCCTTGTCATAGAGTATTGCATTAGTGTGTTGTTCCAATGTTCAGGAATGTGTAATGGGTGAAAAGTTCTTCACAGATTAGAATCTCTACTAATGCAGTATAATACTACAATGTCTGTAGAAGTTCTCTGCCTTATATTTTGCTCAACTTTGTTTATTTTACTACTAGGTCAAGTGTTTATGCTCCTCATATTAGTGCCCTCATCCTTTACTTTTCACGTTCTATTCCTATTGTTTTTACCTCAACTAGCTGCGAGCTGTGAGTTGCTATTCTCATCATTTGATTAATTGGGTTCTGTGACCTAAGATTGTCAAATGTTATTTTTGTCAGGAAACCGAAGAGATGATTGCTGATGTTCTTGGTGTGGAAGTTTTCAGGCAAACAATAGCAGGGAATATTCTTGTTGGCAGCTATTGTGCTATCTCAAACACAGGAGGTTTGGTAAGTAGGCAATCTTAAATGGAGGGAACCAGGGGATGGGAGGAAGGGGTGGGTGGGTGGGGTGACGGGAGGAACAATCCAAATGCATACACACAAATGCATAAGAAGTGTTTTCACAATACTATTGTCACTTAATCATTCAGTTAATTATGTGCATTGTCACACCAGTTTGTCACTTATGTGAACATTGAGTACTGGTTATTTTCACCATGTGATAACTACAACTTGTTACAGGTGTTGGGGCTAAAATAGAAATATGTTGTTTCGTTGCCTCATTTCACTAAGATTTCTTTTTGGAGCAGGTACATCCTCATACATCCATTGAAGACTTGGATGAGCTTTCAACTCTTCTTCAGGTTCCTCTGGTTGCAGGAACTGTGAACCGCGGTAGTGAAGTGATTGGTGCTGGATTGACTGTCAATGACTGGACAGCATTTACTGGCTCGGACACTACTGCAACAGAGCTATCTGTTATTGAAAGTGTTTTCAAGCTGAGAGAGGCTCAACCTACTGCTATTGTTGATGAGATGAGGAAATCATTGATCGACAGTTATGTCTAAGTTATTATTTAAATTGCATGTACTACAAAATTCTGGGTGGAAGTTTGAGTTGCTGCTTTAATTTTGTGTTTCCTATGTTAAAAGGTCTCACTTGATAATGCAGATTTATGTTTTTTTTTAATCTTAATTGCGTTTTCTGTTTTTTCAAGTGTATAATGTTAGTACATTTGAGTATAAGAATTATTTATCTCCATATAATATTTTCCATTTTCATAGTGTATTTTATTGAGTTTAAAATATTGCGTATGACTTGTGGCCAGTTGACTCACTACAAGAACTTACGTATCATCTTATTGAAGTGGGATAAGAACGTACGTGTGCTAGCTTTGAACACGGTAAAAGTCTTCAAGGGCAACAATGTTTTTAAATTAGTTAATTTCTACATCTATAATCTCTGCATTACTAATTCAGATTGATTGCATAACAATCTTGATAAAAGGACACCTTTTAACATGGATTCCTAAAAATAATATTTTGTGTAAAAAAGCAATTTAAAAAAAACATGTATATTTACACTATGCCGACCACGATTAACAAAAATACAAAGTAAACATCAATTTGAGACATGGAGTAAGCCTTAATCAACCACCATAGTCCCAAAACCTAAACCAAAATAAGCCTTAAATCCTGCACAAATGCTATGTCACTGGCAAAGCTAGCTAGGGATCTATACACACTACATCTCCGTCATCTAGGAGGCATTCATCAGAATCATAAGTACTTCCACAAGTAGATTGCACTTTTTGAAGAAAACATTCCAACCGTTCAGGAGTAAACCAGTCTTCTGTCATCTATGAAACAGCACCAAATTGCAAAAAAAATCCCATTATAATGAGGATTACACAATTCCCTGCTATGTAAAAGGTATGGAACTGGTATCAAAGTATCAGAGAGAGGAACTCACAAAGTATGGGTAGCCCTTTGAAATGCTGAAATTTTCTGGAGCACTCTCTAAGAAGAGGTTTATATAGTACAAAACAAAATTGCCACAGTCTTCATCATTTCTCTGCTGCGGAACCTGAAACTTTTTATATGAGCAAGCATTGCAAAAGGACTGAGATTAGACGACAGAGACAACATATTATCACCTTTGGAATCATTAGGGGGATTTTCATAATCTGGTCCTTGGTTTCTGGCCTCTGTTCTGCCTTGAATAGGTCTACAACAAATCTGCAACGGGAACACTGCTATCTTAATGGATTATCATTTCAAAGTAAGCCCAGAATGGGACGTTAGGCTGAGAAAAAAAAATACTTTCTGATCCCAGGGTCAAATCTCTCAGGGTTCGCCATGTGCAAAGAATCAAGCAACAACATACAAGGACTTCTTTCTTTAGATTGTAAACTTTCACCAAGGTGACAAAAGATCAGGAGACTCCAGTGACCCCTGGCAATGTGGGGATTCAGTCAGAGACATATCTAAAATGTAGAATTCTGCATCATACATCCAGTACATATGAAGAAATACTTACCAGAGAACAATGGGAACAAAAACATACTCTTTTGAGAATATCTTCTTTTTCGCAATCCAGTTCAACACCTTAGCTTTGTGAGAACGTTCTGAGTACAAGGAGAACCACAAGCTGTCAAGGTACGTAAATGTGTTTCTCCTATCTTCCGGATGCAATTTCCATATGCTCCTATATAAACCACCAAAAGTTAGGCTTACAAAAAAAGTGATAAGAGTTTGTGTACCAAAGAAATATGGAGGTCTAAACATTAAGGGGTGTAGGAATTGGAATGTAGCTTCAGTGGGGAAACTGATCTGGCAGCTTGCTTTAAAGGAAGACTTGCTATGGGTAAAATGGGTACATAGAATCTACTTTAGGACAGATATCAATATCTGGAATCACGGGCTCCCTTGGATTGTAGCTGGTATTGGAGAAAATTGAATCCACTGAAAAACAGAATGAGAGAGTGGTATGCTCAGGGATGTTACAACCTCACTGCAAAAGGAACTTACTCTATATCTAGGAGCTACATTGCCCTAGCTGGGGATCAGGGGAAGTGGGATGTTGCTGAGCTTGTCTGGAATAGTGTCTCTTCTCCCAAGCATAGATTTATTATGTGGCTTGATGAGCATCAAAGGCTGCTAACTAAAGGAAGACTAGCTCATATTTATAAATATGTTGAAGATTGTAATGTTGCTTGTGTGATACACAAGATGTGGAAACTAGCCAACATTTGTTCAAGGACTGCCTCTGGTTCAGATTAGCAAGAGATGAAGTACTCCAATGGTTTGCCATTGTTCTACCATCTGGAGAAATCAAACAGGTTATGGAGATGATCGTGAGAAGGCATTGGAAGAAATTCAAGAAGGAAATTGTGGCAGCTATTATGGGAGGATTATTATATCACACTTGGAGGGCTAGAAACTGGAGATTATACTAAGGAGTTGATGTACAAAGAAGTGATGTTCTGGAGTAAATCAAACTGGAAACTGTAAACAGGATAGAGTTTTTAAAGCATTCAAAGCGTGCTCATAGGAGTAGGAATTTTTGGCAAAAATTTTGTACCTAGTTATCTGTTTTTCTGAGGCCTGAGGATCATCACCACTGGTGATGGACGAGGTGCTCTTAGCTTGTATTTGTTCTTGGTTGTTAATGGTAATTTTAAAGTGTTACCCAAAAAAAAGAGTGATAAATATCAGTGTTCTTAAGTCTGTTTGGTTCTATAAAGAGGAGGAGATAGCAAAGGAGAGAGTTCCATTGGTAGTAATCATCATTTACCTCGGGCAGTTGAAACAGATGGAAATGAAGTAAATATGCTTCCTCCTTTCTGTCAAATCTTGGAGGGGCTAAAAAAGCTTATTTGGAGGGGTACTGACCTCTCTACATTTAGCACAGCCCAATACAAGAAGCATCCTGCGCTCACGCAGGGTACGTGGAAGGGCCACACCCTAAGGGTGTGATGTAGGTAGCCTACCGTGATGCATCAATGGCTGATTTTTATGACTCGAACCGTGACCTATATAGGTCACACAGAGACAACTTTACCATTGCTCCAAGGCTCCCCTTCACTGACCTCTCTCCATTTACTTCTCTTTATCTTTTACTTCCTTACCAAACAAGGAATTACCTTTTTAACTTCCAGTTTTACTTACGCTCCACCAACCTTTCCTCACCCCAATCAAATTGCATTAGAATATGACATTTTACAGGAAAAGGATAAAGCAATAAAAACTTACTCCAAGTAAAGCTCAAATTTCGATGATCCTAACCCCTTTTGACTGTTGTTCCTCCTTGATTGACCATGACAACGAGAAGCACGCTGTGGGATAACTTCAGAATCCGTTGAATCAGCTGTTATCTTACTTTTTGATCTTTTTCGTGAATGTGGTCGTGGTTTGGTCTGCGAACAACAAGAAGCTTGCTGTGGGATAGCTTCAGAATCTGTTGTATTAGCTGTTATCTTATTTTTCGTTCTCTTTCGTGAATGTGGTCGTGGTTTGGACTGCAAACAACAAGAAGCTTGCTGTGGGATGACTTCAGAATGGGTTGTATCAGCTGTCACCTTACTTTTTTGTGTTGATGGATGTGATCGTGGTCTGAACTGGGACCAACTTGGGAGTTCTGTATGATTCCTTTCCTGGTCAGTCGCTGTGGTGAAAAATTGAGCAATCAGCTTTGCAACTTTGAAATAACTAGCACAATGTATTTCCATTTTCTGGGAGGGGGAAGCAAGATTGTTCCTTCTCACTCACTTTTTCTTTGATCAGGTAAAGTTAGATTTCGTTCAATATGCATCCAGGGAATAGTACCGAGTACAAAAAAGAAGTTAGCTCCTGTTCATCCTTAAATCATGTCTTCTTTCTTGTTCTTTTAAAGTAAGATACTCCAATATAAAAACTCAATGCTGTTTCCCACCCCCACAACTCCTAATTTGTAAAAAACTGACTAAACAGATATGTGACTTTCAAGGTTAGAATGGACAATATCATTGGTCAGTAGCTTAATCATTGTTCTGACAGCAATTAAAGAGCTAAACCCTACCACATCACCCACCCCTACAAACGAACATCCCCTCAGTGCAGAAGCTTCTAATCTTAGAAGAGGTTTGTTATCTAATACATTGGTTCCATTGTTTCGATCTGTTATGTCTCAGTCCTTGGGTGAATAGTACGTATGTAAAAAAAGCATATAACAGAAGTTCTCTGCTAATTAGGATAGAACTCAGTGAATCTATGACAGCAGCAAGCTAACAGACAATACAAGGTATTAATGTGCCAAGAATTCATAGGTGCGAAAAAGTGCAAATACGAAATTATAAGGACTAGAAATGTGCCTTACCCAGAAAATACATAGAATCTTACACCAGAGATTGTAATTTAACCCTCATTAGATAAACTCCTTTTGTCCCAAACTAAAATCAAATAGGTTTTATTTAAGTATTGATCTGAATTTGAAGAAAATTAATTTTACATCAAATCAAATAGACAATATGAAGGTAACAATGTGTAGATAAATGCTTATTCCAATAATTGTTCGAGATAAGGATACACAATCCAGCAACCTGATAAAACAATATCTAAGATTGCAGGATATTAGTAGTACCAGAAGTTTGTAGTCCCTCCTTTGATTTTTGGCGTCGAGGAACATATTTAGACAATGAGTAGTTTTGATACAAATTCCGTGTTTCTCCAGGTACATGGATGCCTTTTAGCTTTTCATTTGCAGGAGCATGCATATCCGCTTGCTGATGATTCACAATTCCAGGTGCAGAAGATTCTACAACAAACCAAGAAATAATTCTGTGATTTCATACTAAAAATGAAGCATACTACAAAGGACTCCCTCATTTTTCTATAGAAGTTGACACCATAAAAACCCAAAATGATCTGGAAAACACCAAAATACTGCTTAAAAGGGTTAATATGCCTGGTGTTGCCAAAAACTAAAAACATACATGCAAATATAAGTTGCTTTGAGAAAGGTTTTTGTACTTGCTTCGATTGATACAAACAATAAAATCAAAGAAGTTGTTGTAGAAGAAAAGCATCTAACTTCCTTTTGCTTATGGAATCAACAAATGTAAAGCATCATCAAGGTACTCACACCTACTAACTTATTGTTAGCATAAATTCTACTACAATGTCACAATTTTCCATAACTTGGATTAGCATCAAGCCCTAGTTCGTCGTTCACCAAAAAAAAAATCAATTTCAAAGTGAAATTTAAGAAATTGTGAGCAGTGAAGTTTGATTACCTGAAGGATTATGAAGAACGGGGTTGTTGTTAGTGTTCTTCATCTTCATTCCACGCTCCTGCTTTGACATTCTTCTCAACTGGACGATGACCAAATATCGCCCTCACTGTTAAATAAGCTTATGCTTAAGTTTCAAATTATTTATTTTAGTTATCCTTAACTCCAGTAAAACCTCACTTAATTTATACTCCATAAATTAATAATGGAATAATCTCTTTAACATAATATTCTCCTCCTCGTATCCTGATTTGGGTCAATGAAAACAATCATATATTTCTATAAAATAATAATATATTTCATTTTTAGAAGATCCATATATAAATATATGGTCTTATTAATATTATAAATTAATAGTTCTTTAAAAGTACAAATATATATATATAAGACAATTTAGTGAAATATGATTCTATTATGTTTTATTTTTTGTTATCTATCTTCCTCCCCCGTGATGTTCCCAAAGCGATCGCTGTCATTTTCTTGTTTTCTTCTTGTCTTGAATTTCTATAGAACGGCTTTATATCAGGTATAGTTGGTTAGGATGAAGCATTAGTAGATATAGCAAGTGTGCCGGGGATGCGGCTCGGATATAGTAGGTCTAGACGTCTAGCATGAAAGAGCCTTCTCTGGTAGCAGCACTATACCTTAGTATCTCTCTAGCCTCCAGCCTATATAAGACGTAAAACGCATATCTAACTTTTCTTATTGCATCAAAAAGTTTTGGTATTGTCTTTTCGAATTATACCATAAAATTGTAAAGAGTTCTAGATGTGATAAATGTTTCCTTACGCGTAACTAATTCCAAAGGTATTGTATATTCTTCAACTTCATCATCAATATTGATGTATTCATTGTACTTTATGTATAATAAATTATTATTTTTATGTGGGAAAATGCATAAGTACCCCCCAGCCTATGCCCAAAATCCCTGAGACACACCTAACCTTTACTAAGGTCCTATTACCCCCCCCCCCCCCGAACTTATTTTTTAATTAATTTTTTACCACTTTTGGCTTACGTGGAAATATAAACCAAATAGGTTGAAAACTTTGTTCAACACGCACCGGGTCCCATTTTTGCAACTTTCTAAAAAGTAGCTTTTACACTTCCCAAAATTTCAAAAAGCTATCCTATTATTTATAATCTACTTTGTTAATATATTTTTAGTTAGTTTATAGATTTTAATGTTTATATATTTTATTTCAAATTTGGGCATGTAAAATTTTGTAAATATTATATATATAATTTTATTTTATTTATAGATAAAAAAAATTATTTATAATCTACTTTGTTAATATATTTTTAGTTAGTTTATAGTTTTCAATGTTTATATATTTTATTTTAAATTTGGGCTTGTAAAATTTTGTAAATATTATATATATAATTTTATTTTATTTATAGATAAAAAAATATTACTTATAATCTACTTTGTGAATATATTTTTAGTTAGTTTATAGCTTTCAATGTTTATATATTTTATTTCAAATTTGGGCTTGTAAAATTTTGTAAATATTATATATATAATTTTATTTTATTTATAGATAGTTACACTTTTCCAACTTTATCATAATTGTAGGATACTTATAAGACTAGAAGGTACTCTCTAATAGTGCATATAATTATTTTGTTTGTTCAAACATGTTTTTATTTGTATGCAACCTCAATTTTTATATCAATTATGTAGAAACTTTAATAGTGAATAATTTCGATCATTATTATTAATAGAACATAAGAAGAATTATTACTCAAAATCTTTACGTTAATAAAAATATAAATTGTTGTATATAGATGATTAAAAAAATAAAATTGGGAAGAAAATAGTAAGTAAAAATTACACGTTATATTAAATTATCTTTACATTAATAAAAAAAGAAATTGTTGTTAGTATTATTTGTAATATAATTAAACAAAAATAACAATGGGAAGAAAATAATAAGTAAAGATTACACGTTGTATTAAAATAATAAGTATTAAAAATTATGATAAATTTTATAATAGTCATAACAGGAATTTACGCAATAATTACTATATTAGAATACTAGAAAAATTGATAAGTTCCTCGACATCTAATCATTGATTAAAATTTAAATTATTATTTTCTTCTGCGAAAGTTTAAGAGATCAAATTAATGTTTTAAAAAATAATATAACAAACTGATTAATTAATTATTTTCAATGATTAATAAGAAAATGTATATAGCAAGTACATGTATTATTATTACATTATTTATATCCACTCTATATTAAATCATTTTTCTATTATAGTTTGACGCAAATTTCAGAATGTAAAGAATGTTTTGGATTCGAAAAATAAATATTCAAAATATACTAACATGTCATTTAATCTTATGATATTTTACATTTCATGTGAAAAAAAATGAAATATTTAATATGAAAAAATTAGTTTATTAATACAACATAAAAGTAATAAAGGACAATATATAAAAATATTTGAAGTATTTGATATTTTATTAAATTAAAATAATTTTAAATTAATATATAGCCGCGCAACGCGCGGGTACGTATACTAGTGAAGAACAATAATAAAGAAGAAGACAATTGAGTTAATATTTATTTTTTCCAAGTTTATTTTAACACATGACCAATTTTTATTGGTCAGTGCCGTCTAAAAGCTGCACCCACGCGCTTAACATAGGTGAAATCACGGACTCAGCCACGTAGGCCGAAAAGTGGTAAACAATTAACTAAAAAATAAGTTCAGGGGGGTAATAGGACCTTAGTAAAGGTTAGGTGTGTCTCAGGGATTTTGGGCATAGGCTGGGGGGGTACTTATGCATTTTCCCTTTTTATGTGAATTCAATAAATATGATACATAAATTAGTAAGATATAATGATTTTGATGTGATCAAAATTAACCTTCATTGAATCTCAAACCCTCTTTAAATTAATAAATATTAATTTATTAATTAAATAATACATCTACAAAATAATAATATTTCATGATCCCGCCTATAGTATATTAATTTAGTAAGGTTTTACTGTAGTACTTTTGCTCCTTAACACTACAAATAAATAAAGTAAGGGAAATTTTCAAAATGTCAATATTTTAGCATTTAAAAGGACCTCTTAGCCACACTTTTAATATTTATTAAAAATGTCAAAATTTCAGTTTGTTATGTATCTGATTTATGTTTTTATTATTTATTTTTACTGAAAGAATACATTGTTTTAAAATAGAAAGGAAAAATTTAGGGGAGATAATATTTTTAAAAAGGAACATATCACTTGAAATTCTCCTCAGTTACAAAATAAAAAACAAACGACATAGTAGCATCTGTTGATAATGTAATTTTCTCATTATCGATTTTCAAATTTCCATTGATAATACTCAAATCTTTGAATTGTTGATTTCGATTAAATTCTATTTTTTTTTCTTTTTGGGAAGAAGGTTTGGAACCTAACAAGTCAAAAAAAAAACATTGACAAGCAGCTTTGGAGAAATTTAAATTGGGAGTTGAATAATCAATTAGTGAAATACAAAATTGAAACAGGTATTAGTTAATTGTTTGATCTTTAATCTGTTTCTAGTTGATTATAAATTGGACATGAAAAATCTTCATAAGTGTAAAGCGTATCTATTTCCTTGTAAATTGTATGTATTATGAAAAGGTGGTAATAATTAGTTTTGGTGGATTCGTTTAATTTTAGATTGGGTGAATACGAAAATAATAACGGATTCTTCGAAGAATCGCTTTTTTCTTTGACGGTTTGTTTTTAGTTCTTTGAACAAAATTGTATCTCTATGGGGAAAACAATAATAATTGTACTGTTTTTTTCTTTGGCGGATTGTTTTTAGTTCTTTGAACAAAATTGTATCCCTAGAAAAAGTCATGATAAATGTACTGTATTTTTTTTTTCTTTGACTATTTGTTTTTTTGTTTTTTGAACATTCCTATTAGAAAAGCTATGATGTACTGTATTTTGTAAGTGTTTGATCGGAATACAATTTTTATTTTTGTTAAGGATACAAATATATTGGCGGACATATAAGAGGATTGTAATTGAAGGGCTATAATTTTGTTCAAAACAGGATACAAGTACCATTGTAAATACATATATTTTTAACTTGAATACAAATCTGTTAAAATCTCTAATTCTGTATTTATTAATGACTTGGGTAGTTTTTTTGTTTGGATTACAAAGCAAATATGGGAAGCATTAGTTTTCTAATAATGCATTCTGAAAGATGGAACGAAGAAAATTACTACATTGACTACACAATAGAGGCAATTATGATAAAGGAATATGCGACGTTTAGAGATATAATGGATGAAATTGTTAAATAGATTGATGTTGATAATTTTGATTGTCCTTAGTTTTTTGTAATTAATGTTTTGAGCATCTTCAGATGAAAGTTTGTATTTGTCATTAATTATGTATTCATTTTAATATATTACTTTAAATTGTCCTTGCATGATTATTTGACTTACATTTCTGAAAGTAACAATGGATACCACTATATTGATTTCAAAAGTCTTTAATGATGCGTAGAATATAAAATACAAGGTTAATTTATAAGAAATATAAAATTGTATTGTGAAATACATTAAATACAAATCTTGTTGGTATACCATTTGGCACACAAATTTTAAAAGAACTCAAAACCTTTTTTTGGTATATAAATTGAAACCTAAATACAATATGAGCAAAATGAAATACAAAAACTGTTCATATATAATTATGATGAATGTAGATAGAATGAATACAAAAATAAACTACAATCTGATAATTTAGGTCTTATATTATGAATTCAAATTTTAATTAAATTGTTTAGAAATAATGGTGTTAACTCAAATCGTATACGTATTTTTAGAGTTGTATTATTTTTGAAATTGAATTTAAAATAATCAAATACATTGAATACAAACTTTGTTGGTATACCATTTGAAACACGAATTTTTAAAGAACTGGAAACATTTTTTTGCATATAAAGGGAAATCTAAATACAAGATGAGCAAAATGAAATACAAAAAATTATTGATAAACAATTCTGATGAGTACAGATAGAATGAATACAAAAATATACTACAATTTCGTAAGTTGGATCTTATATTATGAATTCAAATT